TTAGTCAGGTCCTGCTCATGGTGTCTGTGAACCTTCAAGCAGTTTATGTCTCTGCTGGAATGCTTCCTGGTGCACCTTGAAGTCCCCAAATGCAGATTTCAGGGGTGAACCTTGATCAGTGAGTTAAGAGCCCTGAGGTAATATTGGCTCCCTATTAACAGAAAACAAGGAATGGTGCAAGGTTCTTCACCCCAGTGTACCTTCATTCACCCCTGTAAGTCAAGGACTGGACCAGAGGACCCTCAGATCCCCCAGCACCTGCTGTTCAGATGAAGTGTGTCCTGTCCTCTGAGCACCTCTGTACTGTGCGTTTTCAATGGAGGCTCTGGACATCAGAGCAAGCCTGGGGGGGTAGTCTGCAACCGCAGACCAGGCTGGGGCAGAGAGGCTGGCAAGAACCTATGTGGGCAGAGACAAGGCAAGGACCACAGAATTCCAGGTCCCAGGTCATTGTCCTGACACCCCTTCCTTTCCTTTGATGTGCGACAAGGTATCTTCATCTGCTCAAGTAGTGGAGGGAAATCTAGAGGGAGAGTCTGAACTTCATCAGGTTCTGGATGATGTCCCTTGGCCTGGTGGCTCACCACTGACTGGTGCTGCTCTGGGCACCGTGTGGCAGGGCTCCACACTTGATCTTGCAATGTTACCTGTACAACCCCAGGGAGCAATACTCACATAGTCATCTGAAATTTATGTCACCATTATAAGAATTTCCAGCAGATGGCCATAAAGGGTCTTGAGAAAGCAAGGCCTGACTTTTCTAATTTGCATGAGGTCACCATGTCAGCAAGCAACAGGCCTGTGAGACGTGTCACCTCCTGCTGCATCCTCAGGCCAGCCTGCTTCCTCCATCGCTCTCTAGCCCTCCCTGTGGCCCCTTCCTCCAGGTCCCCTGTGACAGCATCCCTCCCCTTCCCTTGGCTCCCTCTCTTGGCTTACCTCTGAGATCTTTACTAAGAAACGTCAGGGATCAGACAGGTAAGATTAACATGCAGAGTAGGAGGTGCACAGAAACAAGAAGCTGTATTTTGCTCCCAGGCTCAGCTTCCCCCTGAGACTAGGGATGTGAAGGGCCACTCCCTTGATAGCTGCATGCCTGGTCTCCTCACTTCCAAACTTCTTAGGCCAAGTTGGGATAAAGCATGAGAAAGGGCTTGAGGCTTGTATAAATATTAGGTGAGAGATGCCGTATCTGTGTCAGGAATTCTTCAACCTATCCACTTCCTCTCCTGCTCTCAGTCAGTAATGCCATTTTGAGGCCTAGCACTGTGGACTGACTGTCTTCACTGAGGATTAAAAAAAAAAAAGCATTATTTGTGTTTGATGATTTATTCTAACATCCTCCAACCTTTGGTATTAAGCCCCTGCTAAACATCAAGTTTGTCATGCAAATTGTGGTCAGCACACACAGATGGCCACTAAAGAAACCCACCTACCCACTCGGAACTAACTGGACCACTCTTTGACCAATGAAAACAAAATCCAGTATAAGGACCCCTTTTAACATAATTCCATTCCCCCCAGGTAACTCTGTCAAGGGCTCCTTTCCCTGTACTAGTTAATTCTCACAGGCCAGCTTCTGATTAAAGGATGAGATTTATACATTGCAACCCCTGCTTTCCTGCTCAGCTTTCCATTCCAATTAGGCTCCCAAGACATGAATCTCTGGGATGATCCCTCTTCTCAGACCGAGAGCCCAACCCTAATGAAGCTGGACGTCTCACCTTGTGGTACGGTGGCTCTGCAGGGAGACCGCCTTAAAGGACAGAGCCTCTTTCCTACCAAGAATGGTCAACAGCTTGTATCCATCAAACGATGGCCTCACCTGGAGGGTGCAGTTCATGGGTCTGCCTGAATCTCTTCTGCCTTTGATTTTTCATAGGGTCACTTGCCAGAACAAAACCTGAGGGACAAAATTTCCCAGCATTTTGAATATATTGGTACATAGGTGAAACAAATCAGTTTGAATTTTCCCTACATTTTCAATACTTTGTTTC